CAGATTGAGGCAAGGATAAACGCTTTCACTGCCTCTCTGGGTGAAATGATTGCAACTTCTGTTCCACATTGATGCCATCATACGGAGAGTCAGGCTGGTGCCCAGAGTGCGGCAATGAGACATGAAGCAATGTCGGAGATTGATGTGATATCAATTATCTTCTGCAAATTCAGTCAGTCATGAGCACGCAGGTAGGCTTACTACCGGTAGTCGCTCCATCGTTGGTATGCGAAGTTGACCTATTGGGGGGTTCCTGAGATCGGGTGTGGGTATAAGGTGCGGGGTACTAATCCGACGGGAGCAGCCCGCTGGTGGGCTCGGTATGTCTCAGGATGGGGCAAGAGTTAGACCCTGCCATGCACAAAAGTAACTAAAACGCCACGCTGAACATCACCTCGACAGCCGTCAGATACAGTGGGAATAAACTAACTCTGGGTTGATGTTTCGACCTGTGGCTGGCTGAATATGCAAAGATCAGACACCCTCGCCTGATCATAACTCGACACGAGTCTCCTGTCGGATTCACTACCAGAATGAGCAAAGTCACCCAGGCTTAGAACGGTCATTCGTCATTATTCAAGTTTCATTCTCACCGCTTCAGAGAGAATATCTTGCTCTCAGCTGCTGCAAGGGCGCGGATCACTCTCTATTTTCGGAAACGCCAGCAGATGTGATGCGGCCACTTGACTTGTGGTTGGTCTTGCCAAGCATGGCAAGGAACTTTGAGAAAGTGAAGGAAACCGAGGATTCTGCTGAAATCGAAGAGAATTTTACTATTTCTAAGAAACTCAGAGCTTCATCTACGCCGAGACTTCAAATGTGTTGGTATCCCTTTCCCAGGGTAGTGGGTTCGAACCGTTGGGCTCTGTGATTGACGAAGGGTCAATTGCTATCTATTAACTGATCTTGCGTAGTATGTAAAATGAAGTTTCCAGCCGTCGATTGGAGGGTTAATCGGAGTCTAGTTGAGATTTCAATTGGCTTTTGCGCTGCCCGCGATTCGTAGTCGAATTAAACTTCCAATCCGACAAAATGACATGGAGATAATATTGGTAGATGACAAAGTTTGAGACGCAGAACCCCGTCAACCTTCGCGCTTTCATCAACACGACTTAATGAAGCCAACCAAATCAGACGTATTCATGAAGGCCCAAGGGGTTCGATTTGAGCTCATACCGAGGTTCAATCCATTGACTTGCCTAACATAGATCGATTAAGTGTAACTCCACATAGCTTTTGTAGAAATAAGCCACGTAAAAAAGACAACCATCCTTTCATTTTATTTCATTCTTCTTTTCTCTTTGACAAACATGCATTCTCGGATAAGGATCGATGTCAAAGCTGTCCTTAATTACGCAATCCTAAGTAATTATCCATTCCAACTGATCAAGTTACCCAATATCTAAAAAAGATTACGCCCTATCAAATGAATTTTAGGCTTGGGGTTGATTTGATTGTACTTACGGCAACGCTGACCAACTAAATGCTAGTGATGGATCTTGCTTTGCTATGTTGGCGTTGACTTCGCTGTCGCGGACTGTTTCATCTTCAATCGCACCTTCAACGGCTTGAGCAAAAAGGCAGAAGAGTCCAATGTCACCAAAACCAGCAGCAGAGTCGCGGTATTCCTTTCAAACAATCTACTTAAACCGTTCTCTGCCCGTATTCAAGACTTTTCTTAAAGCGTTCGAATGTATTGCATATTCTCGCCGATAATCTTTGCGTCAACCCATGAGTCGCCAATCGTTCTGGGTTCTTCACCCGGACTCATCCATTTCATAAGGTACGAAGCCGGCAAGATCCAAATCCGATATGTGGAACTTTGTAACGATCTCATCATTCGTCTGAAAGGAACGAGATGGATCAGGCATATGTAGTATTTTGATAAACATCGCTGGACCGAAAAGCCCGGATGTGAGTCTCAAAACACAACGAGTATGAGGAGGCTGGGGGACTGACCCCATCGTGGCTCCACTTTACGACGCGTGTTTGGCAATATTAAGCCAACAGTGTTCCAGCTTGGCTGACTTAGATGACATGCATAGAACATTGGCACCAACTGGTTGGGAGATAATGTAATACATGTAGAGGTTGCAGAATATCGCACAAGCATTCTCACCGCACCCCCACGACAATGGCAAAGACACAGCGTTTAGAGCTCAGTCATTTTCTTCGAGTATTGCAAATTCCATCACCGAGACTTGTTCGATTCCCGGCTGGCCTTGACAAATTCAACGATGGCGGCTCTCTGCTCCGCTTGCAAGGGTATTACCCCGCAAGCCTTGGCTCAGCCTGATGGATATCGCCATATCGATAGTGCACACGACCTCATTCACTTGGCCAAGGTATGCGACTTTTGCAGGCTTATACGCCTGGCTATGGACCAGGATTGCAGGACTCCCAAGTCGGACGAACAACTTCGCACGAACACGAAGTCTGAACCTCTGTACTTGTTTGGTGTCGGCGATGGTTTGGATACGGCAGAGGACGCCCCTGGAGACGGTGTGCAGCCTCCAATGTTGTTCGGGATCAATGTGCATATCCCAGACATTGAGTACGATTATGATCTAGTCAAGATGAGCCTATTCGCTGATCCTAGTAAGAGCTCCAACAGACAAACAAGTCCACAGTTGCCAAGCTAAGCTAAGATGTTCATATCACAGATGGCGCACCTGCCCGCAACCAAGACGTCGTCGGGACGAGGCTATTGACGGATTCCGGCTCGAGCGAGGCATTCAGGCTGGTACAGCGTTGGTACGACACTTGCAAAACCAATCACAAGGATTGCAACGAGGCATTTACTGGGCCGGAGACTTCTTTGGCAAAGAGTGGCTCAAACATTATGCCACCACTGCCCACTAGGGTCCTTGACGTTGGCCCGGCTGATGGATCAGGGGAGACGAAACTCCTGGTTACCAACGGAGTCCATGCCTTCTATGCCGCTCTAAGCCATTGCTGGGGAAAGCAAAGAATTCTGACAACTACATCTCACAACCTAGCTCAGCATTGTAACGTCATCAAGTTCGCCAGTCTACCCAGGACCTTCCAAGATGCCATCAAGATTGTACGGTTTCTCGGCTTCCGTTACCTCTGGATTGATAGTCTATGCATCGTGCAGGATGACGCTGATGATTGGCGCAAGGAGTCAGTTCAGATGGGGCGCATTTACAAAGATGCCGAAATAACTGTCGCCGCGTCCGGTGCCAGAGACGGCTCCGAGGGTTGCTTTGTTCCGCGTCCTCCACTGCAACCAGTCGTCCGTCTTCCCTACGGAGACCCGGATCAAGGAGAATACATGTCGGCAACTCTGTTTCCTGACGCGCTGGATACCACGGTCAGCGAAACCCCGCTCGGGAGTCGGGCATGGATTACTCAAGAATGGATGCTATCCCCTCGTGTTATTCATTTTACAAAAGCACGAATGGTCTGGGCGTGTCGCACCTTGCTCAAATGCGAGGATGGTGAAAATGAGACATCGGGGGATGAGCAGAGGCTCTTTGAAAGCGCCAGGCGATATCGGCAAGCTAAGGAAGCAAAACCAAAAAGCGACTCGTCAGTAGATCACGAAGAGATCTTAGGTTTCTATGCAGACTGGTGCGATCTTGTGTCCACCTACGCTGCAAGAAGCCTAACATACGAGTCGGACAAGCCGGTCGCAATCTTGGGCTTGGCTACAGAGGTTGGCAAAGGAATTGCCGAAGAATACACCTCTGGGGTATTTCATGATGACTCTCTGCTCCACGAAGCGTTTCATACACATTGCGTACTTACTCAGCTGCTTTGGTTCGCGAAAGTGACGTTGACTCGTCCGCTCGCTCTTCAAGACCAACCCCATTGGTCCTGGACATCTACCATTGGAGCTATATCTTTCCTCGCACCAGCTCGTGCGGCGAAAACTTGTATTTGTGAACTGAATCGCGTCAAGACAAGTGGCTCCGCGTCCGCATGGAGGTTTTCGGCCCGGTTGAAGAAGTGGGAGGCACGAAGAGAAGGAGACCCATCTACTCGATCTGGGGATGACTACTACTTCATGGAATTCTATCCCAAAGGATCCATCACGTACGGCGGATTTGTGACGCAGAATACCAAGTTGTTTTCTGGAAGAGATATGACGCCTGGTGGATGGATGGTCTTTGACTTGAACGAGTGGCCGGCTGAGCCATTCTACCTTGCTGAAATTTCGAACAACGAATTCAACGAAAAGCCTGACGGCTCCAACGTGATGTTTCTGTCAGAAATAGAGCCAGACCTCGGAGATGGATCAGATAGACGGTTCAAGAGGCTTGGGGTCGGACAGGTCATTGACCAAACGTGGTTCGATCATGCTGAACTTGTGACCATCACGTTGGTTTGATAGCTGTTGGTTGTGAAGAAGAGCTGATGGTTTTGTTTTCGAATCAGACTACATAGAAACTTTTTGCTTGGACGCTAGACTTGATAAGTAAGTCGGCCGTTGACAGTGACAGTGCATCGACCCGGAACAGCCGTCCAACGTCCGTGGCTGGCCGTGGGGTAACAAAACAAGCTTTTGCTAATTTCACCCAAGACGGTGACATCAATCTCAATTTTCTCCACTCCGACACCGGCTATGTCGGCACTTCGTCTTCTTATCAGTTGGTTGCCCCAGATTATCCCATTGACCTGCCTGATTTGTACGTGAATCAAACCATCCCTCATGCAGTAGCTAACGGGAGGCGGCGCGTTTTGTGAAGATCAGAAATGAGCAATAGCGAATTATAGTAGGGGAACGCGCCATAGCAATCGACATGCCTCCTTGGGGCAAGTCGCTACCCACCGTAATATGATCAAATCTCGTATCATTTGTTCGTCCCAATTGGCCGGCGCCTGACTTGCATCCATACCCGCTGGACTCCTACCTACCGACATGTAAATAGCGATGCCATGTTCCTCCGCATCTCTTGGCCTCTTCTTGGCTCTGCAGGGTCACTTTGAGCCTCTGGAGCTTGACATCTTGGCAAAGACAACGACATACCCTCAAGATGCGCACATCAAGTCTCATCGCCGGCCTGACAGCTGCGCTCAGCTTGCCGCTGATCTCCGCCTACGCACCGCCAAAGTTGCACCGGAGTCCGCTCCGTCGCGACGCTCCTGGTCATGCTCAGGTGCAAGCTCCACCACGGGCGATTATGCGTCGCAGCAGCACCTTGCAGTACTTCAACAACAAGACCAGTGGTATGATATGTTCTGTGCTATTCAATCTGGGTACTTCTCTGACACCAAAGCCATAGCTTTCTACGTTGACGGAACCGGAATTCCGGACGTTGACTTCGATGTTGGCGAGAGTTACGCTGGTCTCATTCCGGTCGATGCTTCGAAGCCCGAGAGTGAGCAGCAGAAGAACTTCTTTTGGTTCTTCCCCACCGAGAACCCTGCTGGCAAGGACGATGTCATTATCTGGTTCAATGGTGGCCCGGGATGCTCCTCCATGGAAGGTCAGTGAAGCCCAATCCTGTAACTCTTTCAAGATGAGTTGCTAAATGTTCAATAACAGGCTTTCTTCAAGAGAACGGCCCGTTCTTGTGGCAGTATGGCACCATCAAGCCTGTCGCCAATGCTTGGTCCTGGCATAAGCTGGCCAACGTGATTTGGTGAGAAATCCTGAACTGGTTGAGCACAAGAGAACGGTACTAAAACTTTCTTGAAAGGGTCGAGTACCCAATCGGCACAGGATTCAGCAGCGGCAATGTCACTGCCACAGACAACGCCGAGACCGCAGACCAGTTTGTCAGCTTCTGGAAGAACTTTGTCAACACCTTCGACCTGCAAGGCAAGAAGATCTACATTGCCGGCGAAAGTTACGCCGGTATCTACGTGCCTTATGTCGGCGCCGCCATGCTCGACAAGAACGACACCAGCTACTTCGACGTCAAGGGCGCGGTCTACTACGACCCAGTCATGCCTTACGATGACGCGATGAACTTCGACCACGCCGCTTTCCCGTCATTTTATCGCTACTGGAAGAACGTCTTCGCGCTTCCCAGCGGTGCCGACAAGCAGATCGAGCAAGACGCCAAGAACTGTCAGTTGGATGAGTACTTCAACAAGCACTTGGCGTACCCGCCTCCTGCGCGTCCCTGGCCAGCAGCGAATGTCAAGGAGGAGTGCGATATTATTGCCCACTTTGACGCGATCTCGACAATCATCAACCCTTGCTTCAACGGATACCACATCCTTGATACCTGCCCTGTTCTCTGGGATGTTCTGGGTTTCCCATCCATCATGTACAGCCCTCCCAATACCACCTTGTACTTCAACAGACCCGAAGTTAGGAAGGCGATCCACGTTCCCGTGGACTACCCTACATGGAGCGAGTGCCAGGACCCCGTCTTCGTCGACTACAATGACAACTACAACGGCACTGAGCACGAGGAGAAGTTCCAAACCCTTGTGGAGCGCACGAACAACGTTCACGTCGGCTCTGGTCTGGCGGACTACGTTATCAAGCCCAATGTCACCACCCTCGCTATTCAGTACATCAAGTGGAACGGCGAGCAGGGATTCCAGAAGCAGCCCTCAGAGGATCTCCTCATCCCTACAGTCAACAACGTCGACGAAAACGTTCCGAGCTGGGCCGGTGCTAATGTCCAAGGATCCGTTCACACTGAGCGCGGCTTCACTCATTCCACTGCCAAGATTAGTGGCCACATGGTTCCTCAATATGCCCCTAGCGTGGCGTTCAGACACAGCGAGTTCATGCTTCGTCGCGTGGACTCGTTGTCTGCTGGTGCGCCTTGGTCTGTGAACATTTCTACCACTTTCCAGTGGCCTTACTAGGCCTCGTAGCTCTTGCACTCTCGTCAAAGTTACGAGTCCACAGAGATTGTGACTCTGAGATGTTGAACAAGTGAGGATGAAGTGGTGGGTTGTAAGATGAGATTCTGCAGCATCCTTTAGATTATTCATGTACATATCACCAATCACACTTGAAGTCTTAGCCCACATCATCGCGAGGAAAGCATTGAACTTGGCATAGTTGATTCTCCGTTTCATATATCCTTCCGTCCATGCTGGTGTGACTTTAGGGCAGACCCGGAGTAAACGGGGTGTCATTTGGCACCTCCTAATCAAGGTTCGTTAGTACCTGGGGGCGTCAGAACTTTATCTCAACTTGTTAATGTCGTGCCTGAGCGAATCAAGTAGGATTTCCTGAGATCTCTGGGGTACGCATCCTTCGAAAAAACTGCCGGGAGGATCTAAGCAGTCTTCAAATCACTGTCGCAGTAGCATAAGTGTTGAGAAGGCGTAGTTCTAGGGCAATGAATTGATCGCTAGGCCAACCAGGAATAATTCTTTCATGTCTGATACAATGCATGATGCAAAGGAAGAGTCAAATGCAGAATATGTTCTGTTATTTACTGTGGAAGCTATCCAATATGCACAAGATGAATGGTCAAAAGACCGCGTCATAACACCATGTCAACCATCAATCGCCAAAAAGGAGCGGAATGCTTCCCATTCGACATAGAATAGGAGAAACCAAGCATCTACCCCTCGCCACTCCCCGCAACCCCATGATTACAGGATCCCACCCTGTATCAGACCACCTTGTAGTAGGGTGATTGCTGTTTCATCGTTATATGTACTCGGTTGAGTAGACATTTAGCCGACGTACTTGACGGTGACGGTGCTGCCGCTGACGGAGGCAGAGGCCTCGATGGTGCGGCCGCTGTTGGGGGAAATATCAATGATATCAGCACCGGCAGGGGTGGTGGAGCCGCTAGAACCGGAGGCGGCGGCGCCGGTGAAGACGACGGTGCCGAAGTCAGCGAGGGTGACCTGGCTGCCGTTCTCCTCGAAGGCCTCGACGATCCACTCGGCGTTGGTCTCGCAGAGGGAGGAGGGGGTGCTGGTGAAGGTATGGGTGACGGTCTTGCCGGTGGTGAGGTTCTGGAGAGTGGCGACACCCTTGGTCTTGGAGGAGGCGTCGACGGTCATCTTGATCTGGTCGCCGACGGAGACGGAGAAGCCGGAGAAGCTGTAGGCGTAGTCGGGGATCCACTCGTACCAGGCGTCAAAGGTGCCGTCGGCGTAGAAGGAGATACCGGTCTGGAGGATGGCGGTCTGGCAGGTGTCGCCGTCGATACCGACCCAGGCGGAGGCGGCGGCGCCGCTGGAGCCGCTGACCTCGGGAACGGTGATGGTACCGGTGACGTGGTTGTATCCGGTTCCGATCTTGACGGCACCGGCCCAGTTGCTGGAGTAGTCGACGTTCTTGACACCGGAGGTCTTCTCAAGGGTCTCAACGGCCTCGGTGGAGAGTCTCTTAATGGGAGAAGAGTTGTAGCGGGAGCGAGACGAGCGAGGGGTGAGAGGAGAGTAGTTGCGCTGGACGAGCTGAGTGCCGGGGGCGGCGGCGACAATGCCAGCGGCGGCGAGGACGAAAGCGGAGAACTTCATCTTGACTGGTGAAGTAGATGAGGATTGGTGGGATGAGACCGAAGGTGAGATGGCAAGGGGCTTGTTGGGATTGATGCTGGCGATGCTGTTCTAAATTCTTTCTTCTTGGCCGAGAATCTTGCCCATCTTTATATCCTTTGTGATGCTTGTTTTAATCAACATCGACATCGGCCATCCGGCAGCCAATATGTCACGCCATTGACCCGGCCTCCCGATGCAATGAAGCCGCTATTCTGCTTCTCGCAGGTCAGTAGATATCGCGATGCCGTGTTTCCCGAAGGAACTTTTTGAAAATGGAGGTTAAGCCATAGAGCGTGATGGAGAATCACGCTGTTGCATCGAAGTGCATCCAGCGTCGATTGAGCTCCTCCCTTATCCGGAATCATCGTGAAAGCCGTTGGTGTTGACCGTTGTATCCAGGGATCCGCCTGCGAATACCACTTTCCTTTTAAGAGTAGCCTTAAGGTATGGCGCTATCCGCGCGGGCTAAACATAAGTGCCGGGAAAGCTTAGCACTGCGGGGACTCGGCCGGCGGATAAGCAAAATGCTGCGCTGGTGTTGGTTGGTTACTTGGCACCACGCCGCCAAGGCAGGGGTTTGCAGATGATTGCAGACTTGACATGGTGGTGTGTGGGCAAAGCCGAGGCCTAGGGGGATGCCATGGGTCCAATGGTTCATGGGATCGATAAGTCTGAATGCTTGACATATCTCGGACTCAAGGCACACTTCGAGCGTAGCGTAACGTCTCCGCCATTCGGGATCTGGATGACGGGATGGCGATTTGCCCGTACGCGACTGTGCCGCAACGGCTGCCGCTCGGGTATCCGGCACATCACCTGCTCCACTTTGCGGGAATACCCCCAAAGAGGAATGAGGATTCGAAGGACCGACTGATCACAAGATTAGAGAGCTGGAACGAACGATAGACAATCCGCGTTCTCATATGAAGAGACGTCCGGCTGCCGTCGGTGGAAAATCATTTCCTCATCCAAAAAACTTGCATACTTTATGGGCAAGACTGCCTATCTCTCGTCAGTTGTTGTCAGATCAGTTCTACTTCAAGTCGGCAACGGTGAGCGAAAGACTCGTCGATATTCGCGACATTCGAAACTTTTCGGTTCTTTTATTCACGAGATATTCAAGGTTGAATGTTCACAGCAGCACATCCTTCCTTCCACGTGACGACAACTGAATTAGTAGGATTCTTTCCAGTGCAGACCTTGACCACACCCACGAGCCTGCATGTGGCTGGAAGAAAGACTTGAATCTTTGGAATTATTTTGAATAACCAAGCGGCCGTACTGATGAACATGTTTCTTTTAGTATGTAAACGGGAACAATACTCCGAAAGCTTTCACACGGCCAGCAGCATGCTACGCTCACTGCCAACCACGCGTCTGTCTACTTGGTGTCAACAGGTATCACCCCTAGCGCTTGTCTCGACAGAAGAAATGTTTCTGCAACTTGGATTTTCCTCGCTTCTTTGAATAGCTGTTTATGCTTACTTGATTGTATGATGCTATGTGCTCAGTCAACTTACGTGAATTGACAAGGAGCGATTTTGACCCGCGAGCGGCTGAGATGTTTAGCCTAGCTTCTATGACTGCCTTTGTTGACAAAATAGATTGGTCTTTCCCAGTTCCCCTCTTGTTACAAAGCTCAATCGAACTCCCTTTTCTTTGCTGTGCAGCATATTTCGTTTCAAGGTCCTCTGAACCTGCTCAATTTTGATGTATGTTTACACCTCTTTGAACAGCCGTCTATTGGGGATCAGCCAAGTACCTAAGTAGCAACAGACATCCGAAAGGCATCCATGAGGGCAATGTGCTTCTAGGGGTAATTTCTGTTCCTTCAGGAGCCAAATGAGAATATCTACCATCCTTTAATCGTTCACGAGTGTATCCTCTTCATTACTTGAGAGGAGGGGGTCCGACGAGATGAAGCCTACATGGACCTTCGATCTCACCGAAATTCAAACCCCCATGAGAGACACCAACATTTCCATATCCTTCTTGACACCATTATTGCTAGGATGTGCTTTATTTCAGGACTTTCAGAATGTCAAGAAGGGACAAGAGGCCGAAAGGTATATACATTTGAGGATTTAAACTCAGCCGGAAGATGTTCATCACTTTGAACTTGACACTTGATTTACGAAGCCGGTTCTGTATTAGCACGTACTTGATCCTCTTTCTATTCGCAATGGGTATCGGTTTTGCTCTTACATGTAAGTACTCGAATACATGCATTGCTTTAGCTCACTGGATATATCAGATGTACTATGATTCAACGGTTTTGACTACGTTGTGAAACCTTCAGTACTCTGTGACGGGGTGCTAGCGTATTCCTAAGTTACTACTCTGGTCCCCATATCTCAAATGCAAAAACTGTGAATCTGTCTTCTATCTCAGGATGCAATTCATTGTCAGATCTCAAGAGGGGACTGACCCTGTCCGCAAATCCATTTTGTCAAGCTTCTCGAACCCAAGTACGGCAGCGTAGATATACTATTCCATGAATTGTACGAGATAAAACCATGATCTCGGCGCTGGACCCTGCTAACATCATGTGTGATCTTGCGGCTCAGTGATGACATATCGTCAATATATGTGACATCAGACACGCTTGACAACCTCATGATCGTGCTAGGACCTGCAAGTTCGCACATCATCATCGAAATTGGATATTTAAATCCTATACTTGGCTCTGATTCGCATCCTTGCGACGCTGATGAAACAAGCCGGTGCAGAGGACAAGAGTGGGTGGTTGATCAATCAGGTGATCCTCGCGTGATGTCTCCTGCCGATATCTTGGAAAAAGAACACAAGGCAAATGAGACAGAGAATTCCCAGCTTCTTAATGATGAAAATTACCTGGAGTAAGTCCCGTCCTTCTTCGAGGTTCAAGTTTGGACATGTCGTCTGCCAGTCTCTTTCCTGCCTGGTCGACGGGTTTGTCACGAAGCGATTGGAGGAAGACAGGGTTCAATCTTTCGCGAGCTTTGGAAGGAGTGCGGGAAGTCCCCTCGTCAAGTGCAAATGATAAATGATGTGGCAAGGAGATGAAAGACCAAGTGCTTTTGGGAGGTGCACACTGCGGTTCCTACAGTAATGACCTCTCGTGGTTCGCCCAGTAACGCAGGAAGTTCTCAACGGGAGGATAGGCTGAGACCGAGCCCTCCTTCTCTTCTTGTCCAGTGATGTAGACTGCCCCTTATCAGCGCATCGTGTGGCAGGCGGCTTCATTGACTATGGCGATGGGCAATGAAGAAGCCACGATCATAGTCTTCATGACCGAGGGAAGTTTGCCAACGGCCAAGGCTTGCAGAAAGAACATGTACCGACGAATGTATTGAAGATTGGGCAATTGCGATGCTCATAGTGATGCTAAAAGTCTCATTGAGGAGGCACGATGTTCCCAACTCGGCAGGGGACGTTTGCCGTTACATGCTCAATTATCCTCCGTTGCCTGTCCTCGATGGTTCATTTCATCGAAAAGGCAGCAGCATAGGAAAGGCTCTTCCCTTTGATGCATCACGCCAGATGCTCCGACCAATCCATTTAATCCCACAACCGTCCATTTCCATTAATCTCTTCTTTTCTTCTTCTTCATCCGCATCAATCCATTACGATCGTTACTCAACAGCGTTCGAGATGCATCCTTACCTTCACAGCGCTTTTCTTTACCTCTTAGCCCGCCTTCGTGGCGAGGCCCTCCACGGGATTGCCGGATTCACGCGGGCCGGGATCGCCTTCCTTCGGGATGCCAGTGGACACGAGTTGGAGAGTTCGGGTCGAAGACCAGGTCACACTCCGGTTTGCGATATACCTCCCAGTCTTCCTCATCGCGCTGCTTGCAATCGCATTGGTGGACGCACTGCTCTCAGTCACCCGACGTGAAATCGAGCGCGTGATGTAAGTCTTATCGGCTTAATTTTTGTCATCAAATCTCGTCTTTCCCGACAATTTTTGGACCTTTTCTCTTTTGAGCTCCTGGTATTACAATACCTCCAGGATGCTGTGGCCTATCTTTCCGAGTTCTAGGACTCCTGGGACTCTCCTTTTTGTCTCCTCAGCTCCTGGTATTACAATACCTCCGGGATGAATGTGGCCTATCTTGTTGGGCTCCGGGGGTTCAAGGGCTGTTCTTACATGTACCAATGGGTTTGGACAGCCCGACACAACTTTTGTAGGTATTTCCCCCTTCGTATCTCTCCACAGTGGCTTTGACTAACTTCTTGCATGTGAGCATGATGGCTTCCATGATCCCTCACAGGGCATACCAAGAACTGCTCTTGCATCTGGGAGATGGGATTGACAACGATGATGGATTTGCTTCACTCCCATGCATCCGCCTGATCCCCCGTGTCTCCTGTATCGGCCAACATACAATGATAGTGGTGAAGGGGCCCACTGTCACACGGTTTAGGGTTGCCGTAGATAGTGTGGGTACCTTCGTGCTTCTGGTCGTAGAATCGAGATCCTCTTAGCATTTCTGTCAGAGTCCGTCCTTTGCCACTATCTTGATGCGATCATGGTGGTCTTTGGCTTCACTTCCGCTTCCTGGTCTCAATGCCAATCTATGATTCTGGCACTACATTCCACAAGCTATCCACATTGTCACTTGCTGGGGCAGGTAACCTCACACGGCCATCCGCTCCTATCTCTCTTGCCACCAAGGTGCCTACGAGAAGTGTACCGGGGAGTCTCAACCCGTGTCTTGCCGTGATGAGAACAATCCTAGCAGGACCAGCCCCGTCGGCCTTATCTCTGCTGCCTGTTCACAGCTGACGTCTTTCCGCAGCCGGCAAGTCCAAGGTCAGTATTCACTCGACATTAGGTATGTACCCATCCACAGCCGGATGGCCGTTTTTCCGAGCATACCACAAAGGTGTCCGTAAAGGTGAGTGATTCTGTGGACTACCTCAGTTCGAGTTCCGGAGTACTTTGAGCAAATTTTGGAGTTAACTTTTCTTATCTCCGATGCATCTAAAGCATTGTATACCTAAGAGACACGCCTGGAAGATAAGTGTGACTCTCCGTCCTCTTGGTCACCATTCACCAGACCCTTCAGTCACCCAAATCATCACTACCATTCTTCTGAATTCCCGCCCGGTCTTTGATCTTAACCCAAAATCACACCTCATACTCCTGGATTCGTCGAACTCGTAGAGGAATCCCCCCGATAAACTCAGAAGTCCTTCAAGATGGCCGACGACGCTTGGATGGCTGAATTGGATGATTATATCATGTTAAGCGTCGAGTCCGACTCATGGGTCAACGGAGGCTTCTACTACATCTTCGATGTCGCTCTCCGTAAACTACTCAGGTACTTGTTATTACCTTACAAGACAAGCTTCGTACGATGCCTTCAACAAATCCAAACCGCGCTGTGGCTACCGGACAGCATACGAATCACAAGCGACGTCGGAGACGGTATGACTGATAGCTTCTGCGTGGGGGGCATCGCGTGTCTATTTATCATCAGCTTTATCTTCTTCATGCTGTTGGCAATGTCCACATGCATCAAGGACTCCCGCGTCACCATCTCAGAAGCATTTTTTGCCCTTGAACTTTGCTTGGGATTATGGTGGGTATGGGGCATCATGGAACGCTGGATGTTGGAAGTCGGCCAAGGGGATGTCCGGATGAGGCATCATTTCTGGAGATAGACAGGAAATTCTCCAGGGCCGAGTACGAGAGACGTGAGATCACACAGGGAGAATCCTAAGTGTTTGGGAGCTTCAGGAGACCAAGGTCTCTATATTCGAAAGTCTTTTGGTATCAGTACGCGTACTCTCGGCCGTATCCACCGCGGCGTACCAGGATTCATCGCATACACACTTGCAATGTCGAACCGCTACCAAGCAAAGCTGCATTCGCAGAAGCGCGACGGATGCACCAACAAGTTCCGAGTCATCGACTCAACGCGATTACGGGCTTTCTTTTGATCGCCCTTATCCACGATGCGAGGTTTCAAGTCTGCCCACAATGAGAAGGCCGGCGCCCTCCACCAAACCAGAATGCACCAACAATATCAACCAACGCCCAAATCGATTACACAGACACAGCTTCGGACTGAGCAGGAGTTATCAGAAGTAGCCTTAATAATACAAATTAAGAAATAACATTTTATTTTCAACTTGTAACACCGTGATATTCAATGCAAATATGAAACCGGCTAAAACAAGGCGTGCTGATGTATGATGCGTGCTAATGTGGAGGGACAAATGAGCCGGTGTTGTTGCTTAAATAATAAACATTGGTGGTCTGCTTAAGGACATAGCATAGTCAAGATACTAGGAGCGCTGTCTATCACATTTATGGTCTCTTTGGTGCTCCGGCTTGGTTTGGCCCCTCCTTTCCGGTCAGTTCAAATTCAGCGAACCACTATCCACAAGCCCAGGGACGAGTTTCTAATGAGATAATGCCATCATAAGATCTAATGGTTCTATCGTATACAGTCGCCTGACACAGAATCAACGATGACGCCGCACCAGATTCCTTTTGTTATGCCATAGCCTGTGGCAAGCATAGAGCCGATCATCGTGAGCCAAAAGCTTCCGGGGTGTCGTAGGGACTGGAATACTCACAAGCTGCAGCCAAATCACATCAATAAATAGGCTTAGGGTTCCTTGGGTCTAACGAGTCAAGACCATACAGACCCTAATATTGAGAACGCTGATATCAAATGTCATCCCGGACTCACCTTGCCTGTGTCAAACCACGGCGCTTGTGAACTTGCATCGCAGAACTCCTCCATCGTTGTTGATTTCTTTTCTCCGTCATCTTCATTCAAATTATGCCGTCGCCTGGACGACTTGACTCGTCATCTTCCTTGTCAAAATCCTTGTCACAACTTGAAGAGGTCTTGAGGTCAAGCCTCCCAGAGTCATAGGCCATGGAGAACCTTACGTTCAGACTTGTGTGTCAAAGCCGAATCAAAACACGGCATCAAGGTAATCTGCAGCAAGACACGATACCCTTCGAGCCTCACGAGAATGTCCTTGGGATCCATGGAAAGACTTTCGCTCTGATTCCTGGAAGTTGCGATGAGATGATGTTGACTCACTGGGAACCTTGATGAAACAGTGTTAACAACCATGAATGCACCATCGAGTGGGAAAGTGCGATGATATATCCGTGCCTAGCTTTGTCGATCTCAAGATGGTAGAGTCATGTCCGCAAGTCAGCGTGGGGTGTTCGTCTCATTTTCGACGTTCCACGATATCATCCCGCATAACGCGCTTGATATGGCTTGAGTCATGATCGCAAGCTATCAAGTTGCTGGCGTGACCTGCGTGAAGCCTTCCAATAGTTCTAAGATTGATGAACTCTGGGCAGAAGTATTGGTTAGTCTCTCACCCAATAGAACTGCGTTAAGACTGACTCAAAACACACGATAAACAAGTTGAGACCGAGAATCTCGCACTTCAATATAATCTCGGATTTGTAGTCTGGTGACGGCGAATGATCGCATAGCGGAGCGCCTTAGTGAGTTGATCGGCGATTGACTTCCGTCCATGACGCTGGTTAGATGGTGATGTGATGATTCTACTGGAGCCTTCAGCTGATCTGTTCCACAATTGCAAGGGCCAAAACTTGGCTCAGGTAGAACAGAGGTAATCTCAGCTTTGAGAACTAATACCTATGAATCCCCTGTATCTCATGTAGTATAGGAAGAACATCCCAAGGATAAGAACATATTAACTCACAAAGGTTCTCGTGTTCAATTCTGCCCGTCATTGAAACCGATAGTAGACTTCTGCCTCCGAGTCCTCCTCCGCGTCAGCACCGGCCAAATGGTCGGGCTCACCGAGTCAGTTTGTCTGCCCACGGCGGGTCAGACTGTTCGGGTCCAGACAGCGACCGATCGGCCGAATATACACGTGCGCGGCCCCAGAATTTCTGAGTTGCGGACGCGTGACTCCGCCCGAAAGTAAAAAAGAGGGAAATCCTCGATGTGGACAACATTTCCGCATTACGAGTAATGTCCACACGTTTTCACGTTTTCGGCGCATTGTCCACCACCCGTTCCTTGCGGCCAGCAGCAACCACGTCTATCCTTGGCCAAGACGGAAATGTGAAGGAGGCATTGACTTGTGCCTAGCAGAAAAAGATAGGGATGAAGAGATGGAGAAAGGGAGAAAATGCATAGACCAATGCTTGCTTGCACATCGTACAATGCGAGTAAACATATCTATGGCTATAGCATGACACATAACTTCGTACTCATATCGACATCACCACCCTGATGGTCAAAAATAGCAGATCACCCACCTTCAGAGTATGCAAGACAACGATCCTCCAGCAAACATCATTCCGCGGTATCCGAGCACAAAGAGAATAGACAGATAGCAATTAATGATTTGATAAATATGATCGAATAAGAGCGGGCACGTGTTGGGATGCCAAGAAAGGGGATTCTTCATTGAGGAAGCTCAGGGGCGTGACGTTGCAGGCCAGAAATAAATCTGGAACGTTAGACTTGTTGACTGTGCAGGAGAGAACCAGGACTCTTGCAGGTTTTCTGGTTGCTGGAGAGTCATGTCAAGGTAGACCCCAGTCACGGCCACGCAGTCCCACGAAGAGTCCCACGAGGGCCCATGTCGTCTCCATCATCCCCCATCCCGAATCGGGCGCGGATGCTACCGAATTTGTCCCCTTAATTAGAGTTTCGCCAAAAGCATGCTGGGACTTCCACGCCAGTTGACGTGCTGCTCATCACGACATTTGTTCTAGAATCGCATTGATTTCGGCGTGTCAACCTTCCCATTTTCTCACGAATAGGCAACGAAGAAAGCCATCATCCACATTTTCAATTTACTACGTACACAATTGCACCGCGATCCGGATTTGACCGTGTACAGATGAGAGTCTGTTATCTCATCGTATCTGAAGAAGCGAGCAATCCTTGCCTCGATACCCAGCTATTGGTGCGGGTCGTTTTGTCGCTTGACGATAGCGTGGTCTGAAGCGAGCTGCTAAGGTGGATGGTTGCAAGCGGTATGTCGAAAATAGAGGCGCAGTTCATCGGCAGCCCCGCGAGCGGGATGTCACGGTATCAGTTCAGATGCACGAGTCCAATAATGCGAGCTAGGCTCTGGTAGGGCTTTCTTCAAGCAGCTGGGAGAGCCTGTGACTCTGGACGAAGCGTACTGCGGTCTCTGAGCATCATTCTTAGCTGGGAAGTGCACAAGGCAACCTAAGTATGTGCCGAATGATGGCAATTATGTTGTAAGATTTTTGCTATAACTATATGTCCCCAGATCGAAATCTACTGTGCGTCATTGTTATGTGGTTGAAGGCTCAAGTTTTGCGGTTTGTTTGCATTTTCATTCGATACCAAAAAAAAAAAATGTATATCGAATAACTGAAATATGTGGAAGGTGGACTTCGAGGTAATTGCAAAACATAGCAGATCTATTTGTTTGATTTATGAAAGATGCTCAGGGAGCGACGATCATGTTTAGGACTCGCAATGCCACACATCTATAGGTATTGATACGAAACACCAGCAACGCCTCGAATTTCGTGAAAAACTAAACGGACCAAAATTCCCACTACCGATGTTGTAAAGCCACCTCCCCAGATCAAGGCAGCCTCTTGTTTCATTCTCCTCGTAGGCACCACGATCCAGAGAGCCGGCTAAGGATGGTGGGTGTGGAGTGCATGATGAATGGACTGTTTTCATCCAGCCTTATGAACAGGCTGGCCTTGCTAGTGTGAAGGAGGAGAGGATGGCTTTCCCGAATCTTTGGGCCCCCCAGGATATCTCTAAGCGATAGACGCTTAGCAGCGGCCGCGAACGTCGTCGGGGTTAGCCTTGCAGTACAGGCCCTTGCCGTCGGCGCAGTCGAAGCCGGTGGTGGCGATCTCGCGGCAAGCAGCCTCCCACTCCTTACCGGCGAGCTGGTCGCTGGCGGAGTTCTGCACGCACTATTTGACTGAAGTCAGTACCACAGTCTTTCTGAATGTGTTGAGTGGGGTAAACTTACACGTCCAGTCTCGGTGTTGTAGGTACCCTTGCCCCACTGGTAGTTCTTGGAGGCGTAAAGCTCGCAAGCCTTGGTGGTGATGCGCCAGTTGTAGCTGTCACCGTTGTCACAGGCGCAGTTGTCGTGAAGATCGGCAGAACTAGTTCGGTGTTAGTAGGAAGCTCCAAAGTATCGAAGGTAGCTAGATTGAGACTTACGCAACCGAGAGGAGGACGAAGAGAGAAGCAACCTTGGCGATGGAGAACTGCATTTTGGCGGTTTGGGTGGGTTGTTTGTTGGGTAGTTGGTAAGGTAGTGACTGTAACAGAGATGTTTGTGAAAAGAATGAACGGAGTTGGTAGATTACTGGATCTGGACCGAAGAAAAGAATGTGTGGAGTTTGATGAGGATGGAGATAAACTTCATGATATCGGGGAGGAACCTATGGAGGTTTATATCCACGGTCGCAACATCGAAGGTAATTTACAACGAGTCACGGCCTTGCCATGTTTCCCAATAGACAATCTATCGCATTCGGATAACCAAGGTCATGCTCTGACCAACACGTTCGGCAAAGAGACAAGGACCATCATCCATGATCCCACTATGAGGCAGGCCGAAGTCCCACATCCGCGCGCCTTTGTCGGCGCGCGCTCGTCTCCAAGTTCCGTCGGACTCGTGGCCCGCAATAGGAGTTTGATCATCATTGAGGAGCGGACTCACCGTGTGGATGAATGTGACCTCTGGGCGCCCCTCAAGGCGGTGCAGCAATCCAGCAGGGCTCTTTCTGTAGACCATCCGTCATCAAACTTAATGTGTGTTCTAAAGAGGAAACTCCCAGGGTTAACCTCAGCCCTTTGGAGCTTGAACGTCTTTGAGTCCTTGCTAGCTGGGCTGATTGAGTTCAAGTGTGGCCATCTGCGTCTAACACGGGCATCTTGGCAGTAGGGTGGACTCTATGGGGTTTCTACAGGGGAGAAGACGCGCATGAGCAAATAATCTCCAGCCGCCTTCTGCATTAGGCTATGTAGGGGGTTATGGATGGCGTTGCATGAAACGGTGAGTCGGGACCACTTGCGGTTGTTGACTGACTCGTAGCCGCTCCCGCGAGTCCAATGGATCAGATGACTACGCGATACAACCCCAGAGCCGCACATTACTCCATGCGCACAACACCATCCGCTACCCGGATCCGGCGTCTACCATCTCAATGTGAAACTGCTACGCCCTACCTTTGCCTTGTTGGTGTTCGTCCCATTTTCCAACATTAGCCCAGGCCATCTGATATCCAACTCTCTTAGCCTCTTTGCCCAGCATCCCATCCGCGCGCTCTCCCCCACAACGGTACCTCACCGATCGCCGCCCTGCCACGATCCGAGTCAGCGCATGGTCGTACTGTCGCTGGGCCTGCTTCAGTCATATTGTTCAGGTTGATGATAACAAGTCCTCTCAAATGGGATTTTGATTATGTCGAACCTATCGAGCCCTGACCGGCTGGCCCGATCACCACGCTCTGGTGTCATGGTGGTCATGCCGGCAGCCCCGTAGGGATTCTTGGCAACGATATCCATTCCAACCCCTTCGGCCTGGCGAGCGCGCGCATGTGCGCTTCCTCGTGAATGCCATGGAGAGTCATGGACATGGGCGGGCGGCTTGACAGACGCAGAAGCCGTCTTGCGAACATCCGAGAGCGAAAGTCCAAAGTCTAAGTTGGTAACTGGGGAACATTGTATCATCCACAAGCTTAAACATCTTGACACCGACATTGTATAAGAACACCTTCTTCCCACCCAGAGATTCGGAATATCTTCTACTTGCATCATCAGTCTATTCTCCAATACACTTCCTTCCCCACATTCTTTTCTCAACGAGTCACTCAGCAACTCTTCAGTCTTTACTTTCCAAAGTCGCTCTTTTGCAAAGAACAACCACCCACTTTCCACTCTTTTCAACCAACTACCAACAATCATCAAGATGCGTTTCTCCGTTCTTACCGCTGCCGGCCTCATTGGCGCTGCTGTCGCCGCTCCGGCTCCTGGCCCCGCTCCCCTCAACTTCGACGATGTCATCGTTGTTGGTGAGGACGGCACCCACACTGTCATGAAGGCTTCCGAGTACGACGCTCTTGAGCGCCGTGCCGCCCTTCCCGTTGCTCCCGCCCCCGCCCTCGGCGACGTTCTCTCCCGCCGCGGCTGCAAAGAGTCCACCGAAGTCCAGGTCCTGACCGACGAGGAATTCCTCAACTGGGACATTGCTGTCTCCCCCGTCGTCACTGCTGCTGGCAACGACGTCGCCGTCTCTGTCGACAGCGGCTACTCCCTGGCCAACTCCGTTTCCGTCACCGCTGGTCTCTCCACCACCATTGCCAAGATCGCCCTCGGCGTCTCTCTGTCCGTCAGCTACGCAAGAACCTGGACCACCACCCAGTCTCAGAACCTCCGTTTCACCGTCCCCGACGGCCAGTACGGCCTCGTCGTCTCTCAGCCCAACGTCCGCCGCGTCACTGGCAACATCTTCTCTGGATGCACCGACAGCCCCACCGTCGATGCCTTCACCTCCGACAGCTACGCTGACCAGTCCTACGGCAACCTTGCCTGGGTCAAGGGTGTCATCCGCCTTTGCAACAGCACCACCTACCCCGTCCCTTACTGCATCGGCCAGGGTGAGCACAAATAAGTGGCTCGTAACATTGCCACGGCTCAGCCCGCTGCCACCAACGCTCGTGCGGCCATCGATACCCCTAGGACCTGCCGAGAAACCATCTGCCAACTTTGCGAGAGAGCCCATCAAATCTCAGGGACGTCTGGAACGGATAGGAGTTTTGGAGGTCTTCTCTTAGAACCACCGAGGATACGCACGATATAATGCCAATACACCCTTGTCCTTGATACCACATCCCGTACATCTTCTTTGCGAGTTATGCTTGTTCTTTGTCTTGTTTTGTGTATAGAACTGGGAATAGAATTATGGATAGATCTCATATTCAAGCGTTAAAGTTATTTAAGCATCACTGGATACCGTTAAAAGTGAGACCCATGAATGATGTTGGTTGTATTACGGAGTGTTACTTCATGACTTGCACTCGACGATGTGCCATTGCTTGCGGGTCTGTTATCGAATCCATTCCCCATACCTACCAAGGCTGAGACTGTAACCGTATTCGCATACGCTGAGGATATCCGTACGGGTAGGTACCCTTCGTCGTGGGTTCTCAGGTGAAGCCTCAAGCGGTCGAGACTTGAGCTTCGCCTTTGAATCTGGGGCTATCCCGAGCAGCGTCACTGAATCATGACAGACAATCACATGAAGATGACTTGAAATATTTCGACCGTGTTCCGAGCTCCGACGATTAATGTTCCTTGCGTACAAGCTTTGTAACTTTGACAGGTTGTCTGACTCTTCCTAGCGGTGAATGAAAGCTGACAATGCTGGGGTCAGTGTCCAGAAGTTTGGGTCGCTAAAGGTGAAGTCATCTCCACTAGATTTGGGCAGAAGTTCCTGTTTGTCACGACGAGCATTCGGTATTCGTATAGGAAGATGGAGAACCCCACGTTCGGGTCAAAATGAGGTGGTCCAGTGATTAGACGTTCCCTTGCCATGATGTCGGCCGGAATTATTCTCGCGCCTGTGGGAGGGCTGGCACGCGCGGCACATGCAAGGTACGTGCTACCTTCTGTCCCTCAATCTTGGTCTGGTTCCATTGGGCACGCTTTCATCCAGGACAGCCAAAGGGGGGAGTGGGATGCCTCTAGGGCTACAGAGTCAAGGGTCCTGCGTCTAGTGGATCTGCTGGGGTTGGTGTCATCGACCTTCCCCTTTCAAGCACCACATCCGACACCAACTGGGACGCGTCTCCGATTGAAAAGCCTCGATCAAAAATGGTCGCTGCAACCTCACTGTTGTTCGCCGAACACGTTATAAATCACGACAGCCTCACACCTTTTCAAAGAGCATCCTCGGCTTCTTTCCAGCCTTCTAACCATCTACTTTCATACAATGAAGTTGAATTAGTCAAGCTGACCACACAGCGCTGATCTGTTGTGAGGCCGAGTCAGTTATTCCCCGCCCGCGGGCACCGACGGGGGTAGCATTGGCCACCGAGAGTCCAATGCAAACGCTGAATAAGCTCACGGAAAATAATACAGTTTAATGAAGAACGTCTTACCGCGGGAGATGTCGCACGCGCTGTCAAAAGTCAAAACATTGTTCTCTTCACACGTGTACGGCGCCCGCCGGATGCAAGTGATCGGCGGAGGAGGAACTGCCACGACTCAAGGAACTTCGTGAAAGGGACCTTTTTTCTGCCTCTTGGCCCGGCCCGCTGCCGGGCCCGAATCTGTCAAAACATCTCGGCCGGACTTTCCGAAGCCCGGACCAAGCTACCGGTTACTTGTTCGGGTTTTCGCCGAAATTTCTGTGCTTTGGGTCCCCGCTTTCCTTTTTCTGAGGCAATCCCGACCGGACGATGCGGAATGCCGTCGTCCGCTTTCACATATTCCAATGCGAAGAAAGATTCATGATGAAAGTGGTGAAACATAGAGAGAAAGTATCCGCGCTCGAAGAGCAAATGTCATTCCAAGTGAAGTTCGAAATGCAGAACAGTAAATCATGCCGTATGCGTGCCGACTTTTGACGGCTAAATATGAGGATTCGCAATGAGCACAAGGGGTCAAGAATTGTCACGATTTCGGCTATGTATCAGTAGTCATGTCGACAGTAGAACTATCTGAGGCCAACATCACACGTATGTAAATGGCTGAAATACACAGCCAATGATGCGTGTTTATCTCGATTGAGATTGAGTCACGTGATCTTCCACGTGATACTACATGACAGAAAAGAAGAAGTTCACGAGATTCTACATCGTTATGCATACACGCCGATTGGAGTACCATTGTCTTGTGATCAGTGGCAGTGGACGCAGTCTTGATCTTTATGTAGATGTTTCAAACAATGGATATCACCGATTGCACTTTGCTTGATTGCTCCAACCAAAAACCCTCAGTGCTCCGTGATTAAGATTTCTGTTTGACTATTTTTGACAAATTGAATCGAGGTTTAAGTTGTAATAAAATAGGCAGCGCTGTTAAATCATACTTTTCGGCCCGCAAACACGTCTGATTGAATGTAATTACACCTGAAAGAACAGAATCAAGTACTCGAAGCTCTTCATCATCTATGAGCGTGGCTGTTATCATCTCACGCACGTGATGAAGTTCCTTGACGGGCGCAGAAGTGATCGACGGGTGAGATGACATGCGCGTAACTACT